AGAGCCATACTCTCCAACGGGACATGATGGCTCCTCCTCCTCATCCTCCTCCTCCTCACCGAAGGGTGCTAGATTACAAATTGCGGGCCTAACGACACGCCACAGCTTACCAGTGTGCTGACAGCTGCGCATGCGAGCACAGGATTCTCTGGGGCTAGAAGACAACGAGGAGAGAAGCGCAGCAGAACTCGACAGGACACGGCCCGGCCAAGCTGTGCCATTCACCTGGTCTGCCCAGGATCCCAACTTCGGGGGGGGACTGGAGCAGCCGCCAACAGCAGTTCGACTTGCACGGTTTCTCCTGGGACCATAGGCGACCCGAGGAGGAGGAGGAGGAGGAGGAGGAGGAGGAGGAGGAGGAGGAGGAGGAGGAGGGGAGGGGAGGGGAGGAGGAGGAGGAGGAGGAGGAGGAGGAGGAGGAGGCGGAGGAGGGAGGGAGGAGGAGGAGAAGGAGGTAGAGGAGGAGAAGGTGGGAAAGGGGGACGGGGAGGAGGAGATGGAGAAGGAGAAGGAGGAGGAGAAGGAGGAGGAGGAGAAGGAGGAGAGAGGAGGAGGAGATTGAGGAGGAGGAGGAGGAGGCGGAGGAGGAGGCGGAAGACGGGTCGCATGAGCCCTTCGGAGAAACCCTGCAGCTCGGCTCCGTGGAGATCGCCCGCCCCCGACGCGGGCACGACCCCCAACACGCACCCCGGCTGGCACGAGCGAGAGGTGGGCCCTGGCGGCAACGGGTGCCGGACCCCGGCCCGGCCCCCTCGAGACTCCGAAGGGGTGGACTCCGGCAGGCGCGACCTCCCCGTGGAATCCCTACATCGCCCCGCGAACTCTTCGGGTCGGGCGACAGGGGGGGATAGCAAAGGGGGGGGGGAGAATCAGCCGGCGACTCCCAGCGCCGGGAGGCGCTCATGTATCGAGGAATGGGCCTGGCGGCGAGATCGAAACCAGCTGCATGCAGCAGATGTCGTAAACTCCCCTTTCCCTATCTCCCCCTTTCGTTCGGCCCGAACTCTCCCGCGCACATACCTCCAGAAACCTGCGCGCCTCGAGGCATCTCCTGGCGGATCCCCAAGCGTACCTCGGGCCTCAGACCCCGGCCCGCTCCCCTCGGGACCCCCCCCCCTGGTGACCTCCACGGCGACCGAGCGGGGAGCGCACGCACCGAAAAGCGGGGCCCGAAGAGCTCGGGCTGAGGGCGCAGTACGACTGCGATCGGAGGCGACCCTGCTGGAGGAGCGACGGTATACCGACACCGGTGCTCCCCGGGCCTCTCCCGCGGGTGCGCTCCGACCTGAATTCCGAGGAATCCAGCCGCGGCGACGCGGACTCGGGGGGACGAACAGCGGCATCGGTACCTTGACCTCCTTTGACCTGCCGCCCCAGACATACGGAGCTCCATTATTCTCGATGCGTGGACCCTTGAAGGTCTGGACAACTTCCCTGGGGCCGGTTTTTCGTCCTACGTCTTTCCTTTACAATCCTGGTGCCCGGAGGCTGGAGCTTACGTAGCTCAGAACCGGCCGAACGCTGCCACACAATGGCCAGAACTTCGAGGAGCATCCGGCCGTGGCGACGCGGACTCTGAGGCACGAGCATCGGCACCAGTATCTGTTAACCAGCCTCGGACGTATCCTTATCCCTAAGATGGGCGAGCAAAAAGCGAGGACAATCTTAGGGATAGGCCATCAGAAACTGAGGGAATCCTTAAGATCGGCATCGAGGTGAGGTGATGTCAAACATAAGAATAGGGATGTGTTTCAAACTGGTAAACCTGTTCCTCCTCTGGCCTGCCGCTCGGCGCGCCTGGTGACAGTGGGCAGCGACCGAGGGCGCGACCTGCGTGCGCCGGAGCGCGCCCCCGACGCGCGAAGCTCCGGCGCTGCCCGCCCGCCGTCCCGTGCGGAGGCGGGGCGCTGGAGCCCCCTGGACGGCTGCGGAGACGCTGCGGGAGGCCCAGGATCTCCGGCCACAGCTCCTCCTCCTCCTCCTCCTCCTCCTCCCTCCTCCTCCTCCTCCTCCTCCTCCTCCTCCTGTTCGACTCGGCTCCTCCGCCTGTCCAACTCTCATCCTGGTCCTCCTCCTCCTCCTCCTCGTGCTCCTCCTCTTCCTCCTAAAAGCCTTCTCCTCCTCCACCTCCACCTCTTCCTCCTCAAAAGCCTTCTCCTCCTCCACCTCCTCCTCCTCTTTCCTCCTCCTCCTCCTCCTCCTCCTCCTCCTCCTCCTTCTGCTCGTCCTCCCTGTCCTTCTCCTCCTCCTCCTCATCATCATCCTTCCTTCTCCTCCTCCTCCTCCTCCTCCTCCTCCTCCTCCTCGTCCTGCCCCCCCCCGCCTCCTCCTCTCTCGACACTACGAATCGCGAAAGGCTTCTGACCTGACCTGACGGTGTTCCCTAGATTCTTCCGTTGCTGCTCGACGAGCCTTGTGCCCCAGGTCGCCGCCGAGAACAAACTTCCTCGGTTTTCGCCCCTAGAGCCCGTCCTAGGGACCAGGGACCATCAAACACGGCTTCAGGACGAAACCATCATTATGGGAAGGGTTCGGGACCCTGGGGCCGCGCATCGAACAAAAACACAATCGTCGGACGCCAGGCGGGGAGGACCTGCCTGGCACAACTCAAGTGGGGACGGAACTCGCGGGGGTGACGCCCAACAGCGAATGGCGTCCAAAACCGACAACGGCCTACATGTGGCAGGCAAAAGACCAGTTGCCCCAAATGGACAACATCCGCGACGAAGCCGACAGCGAGCCCTGTCCAAATGAGCAAGAGCTGCTTTTGGCATTCGTCTCCCGTTTTACCGCCCCCATTTCGATCGCATCGATCTGGGGCATTCGGGGGGGGGGTCGGCTCATGGCACGGTCAAAGCAGGCCATACGTATGGATCGTATGGACGCAAGGCGAGCGCCAAGATAATGTCTTCCGCGTGCGCGGTGCTTTCCAATATCCAAATCGGCGCCACCCTGAAATAGACTCTTCTAACGAGTCTTTTGGCCGACGACCAAGCGAACCCAACGCCCCCAAGCGCGGGCAACGTTGCATTGCCGGGGAGATGCCCGACAGTGGCAACTTCAGCGGGGTCTCCAAGTGCCCGTTGGTGAGAAGGGAATGGCTCGCAAGCAAGCCGCCTCACACGAAATGCTGCTATGGACGACTGCATTGGAGACTCCGCAGGCGTCGCGGGCCTCGCAATGCAGGCCGCTGCTCGACCCTGTGGGAGCGAGCTGCTAAATCTCCGCCCAGCGCTCGCCAAGGAACTTTGGTGGGCGCGGAAGCCTTCCGCGCGGCCATCACGGTGCCACCGACCAAACTTACCCCCCCCCCCCTACCAGGACAGGGACCCCTGCCCCCCCCCAAAAAAAAATCCCCTGACTGACTGACTCGAGGTAGATCGGGCGGTGCCTGGTACTTGCAAACCTGTCCTGCCACCTGCCCACGGCTAAGCCCTGTGGCGAGGTGGGGGCGCATTAGGGAAAGGTGAGACGCGAGAGGTAGGACAAAACTGTGGGGCTCGACCCCAAAAAATCCCCTCCTCCTCATTCGCAATTGGTGCCTCCCCCTCCCCTGCGAGAGAAGCACCCTCTAAATGCGGCGGGTAGGTCGGGCAGACAGGGCCCCTTGCGGGTGAGGCGGGCCAGCGGGGCATTCATGCGGGCGGGCTTTCAGGCATCCGAGCGAGCGGGACTCTGTTTAACAGTCGGGTCGGGCGGGTGCCCCAATGGGCGAGTCGCGCGGGCGGGGCGTTAAAGCCGACGGGACGGGGATGGCGATTGATAGGCCAAGGATCGCCTGTTTTCACCAGCGTCAGCATTGTCAGTGTCAGCGTCGTCGTCGCCAGCGTCATCGTCGCCGTCGTCTGCATCGTCGCTGTGTTTGTCGTGTGCGTCGTCGTCGTCCACGTCGTCGTTTGCTGGCGCGCAAACGGGGGGTCAAACCTCCACCCTTTTGCCACTCCAACCGACATTGGGGGAGGTGAGGGATTCGACCCCGTCCACTTCAGGGGGGCGTGCATCGAACTGTGCTCCACAGGGGTGCATCGTCAGAATGGGGTGAGGGGGTAATAAAAGTGACCGATCGCTACTCGACGAAGCTCTCCTGGAGTGCGTTCTGACAAGAATTTCGGGGAGAATCCGGCTGTGGTGACAAGGGGTCTATAAGACGCGCAGCGGTATTGGTACCTTGTCCTCCTCAGAGGGAGGGTACGCTGGAGAGTGCCCAAGACTTTGGGACCTCCCCTCCTTGAAACGACCGCAGAAAGCTCTCTTTCAGGAGCGCGCCGGGTCGGAGATAACCCTTGGCCGAGGAAACATGCCCAAGACGGGAGGATGCCAGGGCCCGCTGCTTCAGAGACTCATCCCCACCGCCTGAGAACCGATGCCCTGGGACCCCAGAGGGCGGTGGATATTGGTACATTTTAGCCCCAGGGGGGCCGTATATGGAATCCATCGCCTGCCGAAGACCCCGCAGATCGATCCCCCAGACGGTGGTTATGGGCAAATCCCCGCCTCGGAGTTTGACTGCAGGGATTGAAAGGTGAGAACGCGGAGCAGAAGAGCAGTTGATGCTACGGCAAAGGAGCCAGCAGAGTTGTAGAGGGAGAGTGGCGGAGAGCTATTCTTGCTGCGGAAACCCATGGCGATTTCTTCCGGGTGGTGAACATCTGGCGGAATCAATCGAACTGGAGAGGTCGTGGATCGAGAATGCCAGAAGGTGGGGCACCTGAGCAGGCGGAGCACAGGTGGTCCGGAGACGTCCTCCTTGCTCGACGGTGCGCCACGGGCCGTCTCCGTCGGCGCCAGCGTCGGCGCCGTCGTCAGTGTCAGGCCCGACGTCGTCAACGTCACCGTCACCGTCAGCGTCAGCGTCGTCGTCGTCGTCGTCGTCGTCGTCGTCGTCGTCGTCGTCGTCGTGTTCGTCTTGCCCGTCGTCGTCAGCGTCGTCGGGGGGAGGTCCGGAGGCGTCGTCCCTCCCGACGGGGGCAGAGGCGGGGCGCGCGCGGGCGGCGGGGAGCCGCGGCGGAGGGAGGGGATCCGCTGCTCGATGCAGAGGCCGTCGGTGCTGCCGGTGGCCTGTGGGTGTCGCGGCGGGGGGCCCCCGGCCGGCGGGACGCAGGTGCAGTGGGACCCCAGGACGGAAGAACACCCCCCAAGAGCTCCTCCTCCTCTTTCTCCTCCTTCTCCTGGTCCTCCTCTTCCTCCTCCTCCTCCTCCTCCTCCTCCTCCTCCTCCGTCCTCGCCTTCGAAGAGGGACTTGCATCTCCCCGATCGTCCCTCTCCCTGGGTCGACGGGGGCACCGTCGTGGCGAGGTTGGCCAGCACGCCAGGAGGAGGAGGGGGGGGGCGGGGCGGGGAGGGCGGCCGCGCGGGGGGGGGGGGGGACACCCCCAAGAACGCGAGGCCCTCCGCCAGACCCAAAGCACACAGAACATTCAAGGGTGCCCTCCCCCAGGATGCACACAAGGACAGCCAACAACAGGGCAGAACACGAGGGCACGCTCCCAGAGCCGACCTCAGTCTTATCGCTCGGTCCGGCCGCATTCGGTGTCAGCGCGTTCCGATACCGCCCCCCCTCCGCTCGGAGCTACCAGGTGGCATGGGCCAGTCGGCAGCGAACCCAGGGGGGGGAGGAGTGAGAGAAGGGGCAGGCCTTCTCAGAAGGCTCGGGCACCCCCCGGCTTCCTGAAAGATTGTTTCTCAGGCTTCCTCGAAGACACGGGAAACTTCTCGGAAGGCACGAGGGTTCCCGAGAAACCACGCCTGAGAAGGCCTTCTCCTTCTCACTTCCCCCCCCCCATCGCTCGCCGCCGAGCCAGGGCCCCGTGCGCCGGGACCGTCGTGAACCGAGGCCTTGGCGCACCCGAAGGGCCTGCGGCCGTGGGTCGGAGCATGTCCCACTCTTCGTTCCTCTCCAGCTGGGAAGGCTCAAAAGTCCTGGCTGGCGAGCTGTCCTGGTTTCAGGCTGAGCAGCGGCTTCAGCACGTCAGGATCGTGGTCGCCAGTCCCTGGCGGGCGACACCTGCGCTAAACTCTTTCGGGGTGGCGATTTGGACGCCCGAGATGGGTACGGAAAGAATGGGTACAATGCCCAACGACAAATGTTGTCCCAAACCAACAGCGGCCGCTGTTGGGCAGGCGGCCTTGTGTCTCATATGGGCACAGGCCGCGGCGGCGTGGACAGCGAGTCCTGTTGAAAATGAACAGGAACTGCTGTTGGGCATTGTACCCTTCTTTCCGTACCGATGTCGGTCGTCCCGAGGCGAGGCTCGCAGGATTGGCTTTGCGCCAAAACGCCAACAGAAAGCTATCTTTTCCTGAGCGCCCCCCTCCCGCCAAGGATCACGCGAAAATCACCAACATTATGTAATGTTGCCGGATTCGGGTTCGCCTCATTTTGTCAGTTGCGTTCTCGCTCTCATTCTGTTTCTGCTCTCGGTGAGGCCACGATTTGACCTCTGCTCTCGTTGGGCCCGACCAGCGGACCACGCTCCCGCATTCCCTGGCGTGCTTCCTGCGCCTGGCAAGTGACGCGAAACTCTTGAGGGGCTGCTCGTCAGCGCGTCCCGATCGGACAACCCCCTTTGACAGGCTGCGAATTGGGCTGCACCCCAGCCAATGGGTTTAGGAGGCAACTACTGGGAGGTTTTCGTCGGAGAAATTAAAGAGGATTAAGTCCCATTGGGGGACTGTTACGCCGGAATGGGCCTCAGACTAAGCAGGATTAAGCCGGATTAAGCGGGATTGAGCGGGATTAAGCCGGATTAAACGGGATTAAGCCGGATTAAGCCGGTTTTCGGACCAGGGCAAAGTCAGAATTTAACCTCCCAGGAGTTGCATCCGAAATGGGTGTCCCCGATTGGCAGGTCCTCGGCTCATCCCTGGAAGATCTGTTCATTGGCGGCCCGCATGCTGGCCTGGCAGTGTGGTCAGTGATCCTTCGCCCCATGTCTTGCGGCAGAGCACACTCCTTGTCCAGTCGGCGGCCGCGGGCACGCGGCCGGAGGCGGTGCGTGCCCGCGCGGGGGCGCACGCCAGCTCTGGGGGGCCGATGCTGGAAGGGAAGGAGTCGGATGGACGGATGCGGAGCGGCGAGGAGGAGGAGGAGGAGGAGGTCGAGCGAGCCCAAAGAGGTTGAGACCACGAATCACACGGCTACCGCCGAGCCCAAATGGATGCGTGGGCCGCAGCGAGCCGGAGACGAAGCGCAGACCGGACAGTTGAAGGCCGAGCGCGCGCAACCCCCAAGCTGAGAGCCAAGTTGAAACTTCCATCATCTTGAGGACAGATTCCAAGGCGCAGCGAGACGTTACCAGGGACGAGTTTCGGCAGAGCAGCCTACACCAAGGCCATCGCAGGCCTGCAGTGCAAGACATAATGCGGCAGGGGGCCATTGCACGCACGGCCCCACGTGCACGAGCCAGCTGGGCGAGACATCCGAGACGATGTCGTCCAACCTCCAGCCCGCGTCTTGATGGCAGCCGAGGCCCACGAGAGCGGCAGCTCGCGGAGAACACCCCATCGCCCCCCCCCCCCGGCCCACCAGCCCAACTCTTCTTTCCAGCGGCTCTTACCCGACTCGAGTGTTGCTTCAGAAATGGGGCTTCACGATAGACGATGATTGCCCTCGCTGCAGATGTAAGGATACATTGCGGCATAGGATATGGAAATGTCCACATGCCGAGTCGACCAGGGAGAAGGATTTCGGGAGGTTGGTTCGCCAGGCTTTGGAGGAGGGGGAGGATCACCCGTTGTTCACAAATGGCTGGGTAGCGAAACTGGATCTCGCTAGGCCAGAGTCAGCTTGGCACATTAGATGATTGGAGAGCACGGTGAACCATGCGACTCGTTTAACTTCCCGTTAGGTGCAAGATGATGTTCCGATGGTAGCTGCGTTTACCCGCGGCGCCCGACCACCTTGGCCCGTGCGGGCTGCTCGGTGGTGGAACTCACTGGTGAGGGAACCCTGGTCCGCGGGCTCTATGCAGGGCTCCCAGATACTCTGTCTCAAACTGCCGTCTCAGCTGAGCACGCCGCTGGTGTGCTAGCCACGGTCTTTAGCGAGGACGGTTTGGAAGACAGTGATGTGCATGTAGATTGCAAAGCTCTCCTGGGGCCCCCTTTTCGGAAGTTCGGGCCCAAGTGCCCCCAGGGGCATTTCTGGAGGGCGATGTCTCGAGTGACGGGGGCGGAGAGGGTGGTCGGGCTCGCGCATGGGAAGGCCCGCCGAGAGCTGCATCAGGCCCAGGATGAGCAAGACGACTTGTGTATTCTAAAGAATAAATGCGCCGATCACTATGCCCGCGTCGCTGCGAGTGAGAATGCATTCACTAATTCTGACTGCGATGTGGTCAAAACTGCCACCTCGTGCTGCACTAGGCTAGTTCGAGGCGTCGGCAAGGCGCTGGCGGAATGGCCCCCGCTTCAGGAGCAGGCGGGGGAGCTGTGCCGCGAGGCGGTCGAGAGACCGAAAAAAAACCGCCCCCACCACCCCGCACCTCTGTTTGGCGGGGGTCTGGGGGCAAGTGGCGATGTTCGAAGTGTCTGCGACGTGTTGGCCTTGAGTCCCGAGGGGGGGGGGGGGGGGGCGTGGACGTGTTGGCCTTGAGTCCCGAGGGGGGGGGGGGGGGGGGGGCGAGGCCTAAACCCCACGTTGCACAGCCTCGTGGTCGATGATGGCCACAGAGGTCACAAGCCCCATGTGTCCTGGCTGCAAGGTTCGGGGATTCCAATAATTTGGTGCACGGCTTGCGGTGGGTTTGCGACCACCAAAATTGGACCTAAACTTCTGGGAAACTGTCATCCTGCTCGCAATTGCAGCGAGCAGCGGAAACTTGTCAAAGTTGAGCTCCCTGGGACATGTCTGCGTTTGAGACTCCCGCCAGAGCCACTCTCCTCCACTCTCCTGTCTAGGGGGGGTATGATGGCGCGGGGTCAGGGTCAGACTAATCCCAGGCTGCCGCCTTTCCCGCCCTGGCAAGTGTGCTAGCATGCTGACCGGATGGCAACTGAGAACTCAGAACGGTCACGCGCCTTCTAAGCGGGAAGGGCGGGAGGGGCGCCGGGGCCTCCAGGGCGAATCCAAGGGCCCGGCGACGGCCAGCAGGGCCCTAAATCCGATCCCGCCGACGGAAGACCAGGAGGCGCTTCGAGGCAGAGGAGGAGGGACGGCCACGGGCCACGCAGGCACTCCGGGCCGCGCGATGAACCGAGGTCTCTGCAAGGGCCCCTGCATGCTGGGCCGCAGTAAGTGGTGCGGCGAAAACATCGGGATTGACCAGACAAGCCAGACCCCACGACGTCGTCCAACCTGTGGGCGAGGGGCAGGCAGGTCACCACTTCCCGCTTGACCTTGGCCACCATCCCCAGCCCAACGAGCTTCGCCGTCAACGCGCGCGTCGTCGCGAAACCACCGATGTCGAAGGCAGAGCGCGCGAGCACCGCCAGCGTCTTGTCGCGTGACGCCACGAGACGCCGCCATTCAGACCATCGAGCGCCCTTGCGGCTCAGGCCGAGCAGGAATCTGCGCAACCTCCTCGAACTTGCACGCCAGCTCTCTGTGCTCCCCTGAGCGCAAAAAACAAAACTGGGAAGGGGCTGAGCCTGCTCGCGTGCGCCTGCCGATCTGGACGCCCACGTCAATGTCACGACAGAGCGATCACCGATGCCACTCCCATCGAGCTCCTCGGCCTCGGCAAGGTGACGAACGGACTGCCTGCACTTACAGGGCAGTTTTTAATACATAGGATGTTTCAAAATATCGGCTTTAGATACATGTATGAATAAATGTATGCATGAACTTATCGTTGTTGTTCATTCTAGATCCCTGCATGATTAATACATGATCCGCGCGCGGAGCATGTACTAACAACGGCACTGTAGTGACAATCCAGGTCGGAGTCGAAACGAAAGACCAGAAGATCCTCGAAGACACTCGATGCGGCCCATGCCAGGGAGTCGACCGCGCATCATCGGGTGCCGCCATGTACTTCCAGGGCGCCCACCCAGCGCACCTCGCGCCGACGCCAAGCCTGCGACAGACCAGCCTCTTGGCGTCTAGATGTGGCAGACGAGGGTGGCCCCGAAGTCGCCCAATTTCGACGTCCCCGTCGCAGACGTTGAAGTCACCCGCGCTGCGCGCCGAGACACGAACAAGGGAAGCGCGAGCGAGAAAAAGAAGGTTGTGGATGCGCGGCACAGCCTTCTTCGTGACAAATCCTTCGCGGCGTTGATGATACGCTTGCTGCGCGGGGCGGCTGCAAGAAGCGCACCAGCCCGAGGAGCCGTTGGCGGCGAGTCCAGGAGGTGGGGCGTGCTCTCCACCTCAGCCAGCGCATCAAATGCCGAGCAGCGATTCTCCTGCAGCGCAACAGCACAGAAGCCGCTCAAGAGTCCGTCCACCGCGTGGACCTTAGTCACCCTGAGTCAAAACTGTCAAAGGTCCTGTTACCCACGCCATTGCCTGATCACCAATTTCCTCCATCTCCCTCTCCGTGACCTGCACGTGCGCCAACGCATCTCGATCCCACCTGAGCGACGGGCGCTCAGTCGGACGCATCTCCACCTTGAGGGTTCCTTCCCCATGACATCGGGATGACAACCTCATCTCTGTGAAGGTAGGGAGGACGGCCACAGTTTGCAACGAACGCATTCTTGATCTTCTCGCAAGTGATCCCACGGGCGATGTCTCTTTTGTATCTGTCTATTGAGATGTTCAACGGAATAGGCCGCCCGGAGGGGTCAACTGCGGCGAATGACCTCCACTGTCCCGGCCAGCTCTATTCTCCGCCGCCGCACCCTTGAACTTGAGGACGAAGGGCCGCCCGAAAAAACACTTCCTGCCCGGGGAAATTTTCAACGTCCGCAATCCATTGTCCCAAGCCTGCCAGCACGCCATCATAGCTAACGTCGGCGCGCAACCGTACAGGGAGGATGGTGCGGTCCACGGCGCGCTCCCAATCCCCTGTTCTCCTGTTCTTGCAACGGGTACCTGCGCGCGCTGCCAAGTGCGGTCCACCTCCTGCTCCAAGGCCTTGAGCCGCTACTCAAAGGCATCCTGGACTCTCCTAATCCCTGCCACGTCCGATTCCACCACGTTGAGCTGCCTAGCATGCGCAGAGATCTGCTTTTGAATGTGCTCCTCGAACCTTTTGAGCAACGGTTGGACAGACTAGGACACGATGGCCGACATGCATTCTCGATTGTTTCTTCGAGAGAGTCAACTGCCATGGCCTTGGCGCGTTCCTGCAACTCTTGGTCCATATGAGCTAAACGAATTTGTGGTTGGCAGCGGTACACGGGTCCGCACCTTTTGCCAGAGCTCTACCCTGAGCAGGTCCCGAAGGTGTGCTGCCAATGTGGGTACATCCAGCTGGTGTGTGAGGAGGAGGAGGAGGAGGAGGAGGAGGAGGAGGAGGAGGAGGAGGAGGAGGAGGAGGAGGAGCTGTTGTTGGTCATGGTCAGCAGCGAGGGTGAGCGCACATCGCGTTCTGGTGGCCGGCGGACCGCGCAGGGACCGCTGTTCTGGGCCACGATTTGTCGGGTGGGGGGTCCCAAGAACGGAGGTCCCAGGACGGTGGGGGTGTCGACCTGATGGGGGCCTTGTGGGGGCCTGGTAGTGAATCAGGGATCAGGGTCGGTTCTGGGCCAGGCATGTGTCGGGGGGGGTCCCAAGAACAGCGGTCCCAGGGCGGTGGGGATGTCGACCTGGTGGGGGCCTCGTGGGGATCCGACCGCGCCAAGGACGCGGTCCGTGCACGGACATGGCCTGCGCCTGCCCCCTTCCCGCCCTGGACGCGGGCGCCCCCCCCCCGCAGCGACCCCCGCCGCCCAGGCCGCCCAGCTTCGCGCCGCGCCGGGCGCGGTGCTCCTCGCGCCCTCGCGCCGCCGCCGTGGAGAACGGCGCCCCTGCGGGCGCAGACCTCGGAGCGCTAGGCGCAGTCGGGCGACCTGGCCGGGCCAGCCCTCTTGCCTGGGCCACCCAGCGCTTCGCCCGAGGCACGGCCCGCGGTCACCACGCCAGAGCTATCCGCACTCGCCAGGAGCACCTGTACCTGGCTGGCCCTGACCAGGTCGTCCTTGCAGGCTGCCACTGGGGACTCTCTGCGCGCAGACCCAAGCCTTGCCAGCACGCCCGCAGCGATGCCGCAGCACCACCGAGCCGGGCACCTTCTCGGGACGGTGACGAACAGCGGATGCCCATCCTGTGCGCCACTGGCTCTGGCCCCGTCTGTCCTCCGCGGCCCTCGTCGCGGCAAGCTCAGAGGAAGGAGCGAGGAGTCAGGAGGGGGGAGAGACGGGGGGGACGCGAGAGGAGCAAGTAGGGATGTGGACAGCAGAGGAGGAGGAGGAGGAGGAGGAGGAGGAGGAGGAGGAGGAGGAAGGGAAAAAGAGGCATGCGCTCCGCGGCCTCCAGTGAGTCGACGTTCCCCTTCCATTCCAGGGTTTTCTTTGTCAACTCATGCCTCGCTCTCCTGACGTGGTGGTTGTACCTGGTGGGCGGGACAGTGGACTCAACGTCATGGGACCAGCATCAGGACATCGCAACGACGCGGCGGCACTGGCTCCCCGTTTCTCAGCGGCGGCGCGATAAAGAGAATGAGGTCCGATGGCAGCTGCAAGACAATGAACGCCGCCGTGTTTACTGAAACCTAGATCCTAGGTCGACGGCAACGAAAGGAAGGCGAAAAAGAATATAATACTCAAGACAAGCAGGGTAGCAGGGAGACCGAAGATAACTCCATGTGCCCGTGCTGCCGCCAGAAGCTCAGATCCAGCCGAGCCCTCACCATCCCTGCCCGTGCCCCCCCAAATCATGCATCTTTCCTACACTCGTCCTCCTCCTCATCCTGCCCCTCATCCTCATTTTACCCTTCCTCCATCTCCTCCCCGTCCTCCCCCTGACCCCCCCTCCCCCCCCAGCGTCTTGCCAGTCCTGCTCCCCGTCCTCTCTCGCCCTCCTCGCCCGTGTTCTGCATCCCGCCATCTCCACCCCTGCCTCAGGGACAACAGCCCCATCTCCTGGAGCGGTGCCCGGGTTGGCCCCGAGCCGCGGCACTGCTCGGCCCCGTGCGACTCGTGCGAGACCAGGCTGGGAACGTGCTTCTGCATGGCCTGCATGGTCCGCTCACGCCTGCTCTGCGCAACTGCGCCAGAGGAGGCAGAACCACAACGACCACGAAGGCGACCACCACGAAGACGACGGCGAGTGGGGCGGCGACGACGACGACGGCGACCACGCCGAACACGTCGACGAAGACCACGACCGCGACGAAGGCGGGGACCAGCGACGGCGACGGCCACGACAAGCTCCTCCTCTCCCGCGCAGCAGGCACCCTCCACTTCCTCCTTCTACTCATCTTCCTCCTCCTCCTCCTCCTCCTCCTCCTCGTCATCCCCATCCTCCTCCTCCTCCTCCTCCGCCTCCTCCTCCTCCTTCTCCTACTTCTCCGCCTCCTTATCATCCTCCTCCTCGGCCTCCTCCTCCTCCTCCTCCTCCTCCTCCTCCTCCTCCTCCTCCTCCTCCTCCCTTTCTCCTCCTCGCCCTCGCCGTCCGCCCCTTCCCCCTTCTCGTCCTCCTCCAGATCCTTTCTTCTCCTCCTCCTCCTCCTCCTCCTCCTCCTCCTCCTCCTCCTCCTCCTGCTCCCCCTCCTCCTCCTCTTCTTTCCGGTCCGGGCGTTTCGGCTGATAATTCCTTTCCGCATATGATCCTCAAGAGTGGAAATGGTGATAGTTTCACAACTGGAGGGCGGGCCGCTTCCAAAATGTGGCTCCCGCACCAGCGCCTCGCCCACCGGTCTTAAACTTTGCCAGCGTTTCACGGATTGAGGGCGGGCCGTTTCCAAAGTGTTGCTCTCGCCTTAGCGCCGCGCGCATTCGTATCAAAAAGATACAGGTTCTTCACGGGTTTAGGGCGGGCGGTGTTCAAAGTATAGCTATCGCCTCAGCGCAGGGACCTTCGTCGTAGAAAAATGCATGAGCTTAACTGGTTGATGGCATCTCCTTTCCAAAATGAGGCTCTTGCTTTAGCGCCGCAACACATTCGTCTTAAACATTTGCAAGAGTGTCACGCGTCCCCCGTGGTCAACGTACCAGAAATAGTGTGTTGGAACGAGTCAGGCTTGCCAAGGCGCAACATTTACGATCATTCGAGGTGCTGACGTTCAGGGAACCGTGTTTGGACACGATTTGGGATCGCCAAGACGCAACAATCAGTTTGACTCGCTGCGTGGGAGTCCCGAGAATGCTGTTGTGGCACGCTTCAAGGTCTTCAAACGGTTGTCCCCCAACGGGGTAATTCCCTCAGTGGATATATATATATATATATACATATATATATATATCCTTGAATGGGCCAATGAAGAGGGAGCTTGGAGGGAGGGTTTACTCCAACATCTGTGATGGCTCCTGAGTTTGCACTGGTACTCATCCTCCTCCTCCTGGGACTCCTCCTCCTCCTCCTCCTCCTCCTCCTCCTCCTCCTCCTCCTCCGTCCCCCCTCTCCACCCTCATATTCCTCCTCCTCCTCCTCCTCTTCCCCCTCCCCCTGCTGCAGAGACCCTGCCTGTCCCTGCTGCGGGCAATGCGACGTAGAAAGACCGGGGTCGTCGTAACGGGGAGCACGGTGGAGGTAAGAGCAAGGAAATACGAGGGCGCTGCTGCTGCCAGAAGGGCCCACGGCGGGGCCACTTCCTGCCAAAGGGGTTCCCTGCGGCCTGTCGGGGGCGCGCATACATGGATTAGCGATCCATGGATTTGGCGCGCGGTCGCCAAATCCATGGATCGGGGGAGGTGCCCTCCCCTAAATGCGGCCGGTGTCGCCTCGCTCGGCGGCGAAGCCCGCGATCTGCTATGGAAACGGGACCCGTCGCTAATCCACGCCCTCTGGATCCATGTTTGCGATCGCCTGAGCCTAGCGGCTATGTGGCCGCCACCACGTCTCGATGTTGTTAAGAAAGCTGCTCGCAGGTGCGGACGTCAGACGAAGCGGCCTGGATTGCTTTCGTCTCGTGCTGTACCCTCTCGGGCGCAGGAGGGCGCCTCACACCCCCTGGCAAGCTCGAAGGCACCGCCCCAATCCTGTGGCCCCTTCCCCCTTATCCATGGCCGCCCTCCCCTCACCTCCGACACTGGGGGGGAAGTAAGCGAAGGGAGACGACCACCACAGAAACGGCCGCGACCACGACGATGACGAAGCACACGCCAACTACGTCGACGACGACGACGAAGATGTCGACGCTGTCGACGACGACGACGACGACGGCGACGACGACGACGACGAGGACGACGAGGACGACGAGGACGACGACGACGACGACGACGACAACGACGACGACGACAACGACGACGACGACGACGGCAGCGGCGGCAGCGACGGCGGCTGCCACGACGCGCTTTTCCTCCGAGGCCCGCGCCACACGCCCCTCTGGGGCCCAGCGGCGGCGACGGCGCCAGCACCGGCGACGGCCCGCATCGGGGCACGGCGGAGGGCGCCGACCCCCCTCTCGGCGAGGTCCTTCTCCTCCTCCTCCTCCTCCTCCTCCTCCTCCTCCTCCTCCGTCCTTGTCCGCCTGCCTTCCCACCCGACCCCGTCGCCCCCGCCCTCTCTCATCTTTCTGCTGCTCGCATCAACACCATCCCCCTTTCCCTCCCACCCCCTCTCCCATTCCTCCTCCTCCTCCTCCTCCTCCTCCTCCTCCTCCTCCTCCTCCTCCTCCTCCGCCCTCCGCCTCCCTCCGCCTCCGCCTCCGCCTCCGCCTCCGCCTCCGCCTCCCTCCGCCTCCGCCTCCGCCTCCGCCTCCGTCCGCCTCCGCCTCCGCCTCGCCTCCTCCTCCTCCTCCTCCTCCTCCTCCTCCTCCTCCTCCTCCTCCTCCTCCTCCTCCTCCTCGCCTCCGCCTCCTCCTCTCCTCTCCTCCCTCCTCCTCCTCCCTCCTCCTCCTCCTCCTCCTCCTCACCTCCTCCTCCCTCCTCCTCCTCCTCCTCCTCCTCCTCCTCCTCCTCCTCCTCTCATCATCTCATCATCATCATCATCATCATCATCATCATCATCATCATCATCATCATCATCATCATCATCATCACCATCCTCCTCATCCTCCTCCTCCTCATCATCATATCATCATCATCATCATCATCATCATCATCATCATCATCATCATCATCATCATCATCATCATCATCAACATCCTCATCATCATCAACATCATCATCATCATCAGCAGCATCAGCAGTAGCATCAGCATCAGCATCAGCATCAGCATCAGCATCAGCATCAGCATCAGCATCATCAGCATCATCATCACCATCACCATCATCATCATCATCATCATCATCATCATCATCAGCATCAACATCATCATCATCATCATCATCATCATCATCATCATTACCATCAATCACCAATCATCATCATCATCATCATCATCATCATCATCATCATCATCATCATGATCATCGTCATCGTCATCGTCATCGTCATCGTCGTCCTCGTCCGCCTTCCTTCCCAACCGTCCCCACCCCCCGCCGTCGCATCTTTCTGCTGCTCACAATATCACCATCCCCCTCTCCCTTCCCCCTCCCCCCTTCCCCCTCCCCTGATCCTCCTCCTTACCCTCGTCGTCCTCGTCCGCCTTCCTTCCAAACCATCCCCGCCCTCACCCACTCAATAATCCGTCTGCTGCTCGCACTATCACCATCCCCCCTTCCCTCCCCCATCCCCCATCCCCCTCCATCCTTGTCGTCCTCATCCGCCGTCCTTTCCAACCGTCCCCACCCCCTCTCCCCTCTCTCAGCCACTCGCCGCTCACAATATCGTCATCCCCCGCTCCCCCTCTTCCCTTCCCTTCCCTTCCTCCTCATCCTCCTCCACCCCCCAACTTAAGCCTCGCGTTTGTCCCATGTTCTCCTCTGGCACATCATCGACATACCCCAAGGAGGGTGGAGGACGAGGATGAGACATCAGGGTCGAACTGGGAAGGAGAAGGAAGAGAGGGCGAGGGGGCCGGGCGGAGGATGGATGAGAGAGCAGAATGGCAAGGGGGAGCAATGGGGGGGGGAGAGAGAGAGAGAGAGAGAGAAAAAAAAAAAGGAGAGAGAGACATGTCGAACCCAGGGAAGGTGAGAGAGAGAGAAGGAGACAGAAAGAGAGAGAGAGTGATGAGGCGGGTAGAGGAGGACGATAGCGAGGAGACGGTGACAGACAAGGGAGATGGAGGATATGCGAGAAGGAAGTCTGAGCAGACATAAGCAGACAGGATCTGGAGGATGAGGAGGGGAGATGGCACGGCGAAGTGGGTAGGTGAGGATGAGGGATGCGATGAACAAAAAAAACTGGCCATCCGCACGAGCAAGGCGTTCTCACAGGTCGCAACGGTCACCGCCGGCATCGCCCGAAATCCTGCCGCCGACTGAAGTGCTCAAAGCCTCCACCGCCGCTCGCGTCACCGCCCGATCTCCGCCTCGAGCGCGCGACCGCGCGCAAGAGAATGAGCAACCCTCGCGTCCTGGATCTCGCCCTTCGCGATGCCGTCCGCCTGGTCCGTCGCGATGTTGAGCGTCTTCGCGATGCCCGCCTCTGCGCCGAGAACTCCCGCGAGCTTCTTGGGCGAGATCTGCAAGATCTGCTCCTGCCCATCCATCTTGCCGGCGCTGTTGCGGAAGAAAATTCATGCCAGTTCTGGCCTTCATAGTCTGCATCGCGCACATCTCAGTGCCTTCGCCGTCGCTGCCAGTCAATAGCTCCCCTCCCTTCTTTGTCTCTGCATCGATCTTCTTCGTCTCGCGAAGATCTGCCACTGTGATGCACGCGGCCCCGACGACCTCCTTGCCCCGCTGCGCGAAGGGGGACCCGGCGGGGTCCACGTCGCCTTTCTCGAAAAGGTCTGTGAGCGTTTTCTTCTGGGGTTTCTTCGCGTCGGCCCTCCGCGCCCTCCTCATATCGGGGCAGTGGCCGTAGAAGAAGTCGCGCCGAGGCGATTCGCCAAGGGGTTGCTGGGAGTCCTCCGAATCCTGTCTCTTCTTGAAGGCCGCCTCCTCTTGCTCGAACGAGTCGCAGATCCGTCCCCGGCGTTCTCCTTCTCGCCCTCCCCCTCGGAACCATCCTCCTCCACGCTATCGAAGTGTTGCTCCTGGTCG